TTCATCCTAAACTGAATGCGACATAACACACGTAATTTGCTCTCCTTGTTGGTCTTGGATTTAGTGTCCCTTCCTTGGAGCAGCCCAGTCCAAAGAAAAGCGAAGTATTGGCGAAGTCAGAGTTTAGCGTCTAAAAGGCCATAGATCTCCCAAGGATGCGCATATGCTTGCTCTAGGAAAAAGTGGCAACCTTTGGGAACTCCAGCTACGCCGCCCCCGCCAGACATGCATGACTGTCGAAATACGGTGATCCGCTTCTTTCATCTACAAGATTTGTGTCGCCCTTTTCGAACTTCTTGCACCATTTTTACTAGCTACTGACTGCTCTATCTCCGGAAAGTACCTTAAGATTGCTTGACTCCGCTGCCTTTCAACCTTTCTCGAAACGGTAGAGCATAATACGGCAAATATAGAAATGGCTTTTGACTCTTGTTCTTGTTACTGAAAGAAAGAGTACTTTTTTGTGCAAAAGCAGCGAAAAAAACATATTTTTTCCAAGAAAAAGTGTGAAAAGAAAGCCGTTTTAATTATATATCAACCCAACAGAATCCATGTCTGCCTCATTTCTTCGCTTTACGTTTGTTGCCCTGACATACAGAAAATTTTGCACCACATACCTACTTAAAACTTAGATGGCCTGTCTTCATTTGTCATGCAGGCTCCAGCACTGTTTCCATTCCTTTCTGTCTCGCACTAGTGCCATCCACGAATTGAACTGCGGCGACGACGTTTGCGAGGTTCAGATCCATTGCTCGTTACCAGCTGAATTAGCTGGTCCATCCGTGGCAACGTACACATCAGTCTATCTGGTCAGTGGCCTCCTTCGAGGACGTTTTGCTTCGCGAGGAATCCATTCCAGAGTTTTTAGTGTCCATCTGTAGTCTGTCCTCTCACTATATGACCGCCCATCGATGTTTTGCTTTAGAGACGTATTCCGACGGATTGCAGATACGCAATCTAATAGAATACTTCTTAAAAGCATCAGAAGACATTGATTTCATATCGAATCTGAGAAATCGGACGAAATGTTGAGTGCATCGGTTGTATTTCAAAAGACGTCGTCCGGCGCTCTACGGATTGTTCGAAGTGCCTTCGACGTAGCCACAGTGTCAGGCCACGTCTCTGTGCGTAACGAAGCGCAGGGGAAACGGTTGAATCGAACAGGTGGGCTCGGAGCTCTGGGTCCGTCACCTGGTCTGTGGCTTCCTTAACTAGTCCGAAGGCGGCCCAAGCTGCTCTTCGCTTCCTGTTTGGAACTTTTTTTAGATCGTTCTCCATGTTCACCGAACGTTCGAGATATATGTAAGAAGACGTCTCCGCAATTGGAGACCTTCAAATTCCATTTCCTAATCCTCGCAAAAATGTTCTTCATGACTGAGTCTTCTTTCGGTTAACTCGCAAACTT